TATATTCACATTCCCCTCACATTACAGATTTTTCTTCTCATTCCCTCTAAACTCCACCCATCAGTACCTCCCCTTGGCAAACCCTTATACCCAAATATTCCAGGGCAACACAATGAATTATGTACAGCAGTTCCTCATACAACACTGTCTCACTCAACATTGATTATAACATGGATGAAATGCCACAGGAACTTAATTCTTGTTTACATCAATTAGCCTATAGCAAAATTGGTTTCATTAATTGTCATTTAGCTTAAAGTCACAGAACCTATCAACAACGTTAAGTGTGGATTCACTGAACAAATAACTTTAAAACTAGGGAGGTGGGAAAAACTACGATAAACTAGCACTGTATGCTCCACTTCAGGCCGACTCTGCAGCGTGTGGGCTACATGCAACAGAGCAACAACTAAAATGTTCAGTGGATTAAGAGCACTCCACAATAGTGAAAGCTGGAGGTCATAAAGACTTACCTGAACTTTGCCTTAAAAAAAAAAAAAAAAAAAAAAGGCACCATTAACTCTTATGTAAAACAAGGAGCTACATTAACTTGGAAAACAGAAAGGAACCTATTCCAAAACACCCTAAAGTGTCGATTCTTTGTAACTGGAGTTATCATATCCACCTTACATTCATTTCAGTTGGTTGTAATTTCTAGTCATAGGGTACATGTATGTTGGATTTAAATGACTACTGTTTTTCATAAGTTCTTTTACCAATTTACACTTCTATTAGCAGTGTATGAGAATTCCAGTTGTTTCACACACTGCCTAACATTAGCTACTGTCCACATTATTTATTTTGATAAGTGCGTAGTAGTTATCTCATTGTAGTTGAGTCCTTTTTCATGTATTCTTGGCCATCTGAATAGTCTTTATTATAAAGTTTAACTCTCATGCAACTTTCTATTAGGTAGTCTAACACACTTATTTGTAACTGTTCTTTGTATATTCTGCAATTGGAGCCCTGTCAGTTTTACATGTTGCAAATACCTTCTTCCACCATGTGGCTTGCCTTCTCACTGTTAATGTTATCTTTTGATAAAGACGACAAGAAGCAAGAATATAAATGTAAAAAAGCAAATGTAATAAAAAACAAAATTCGGAGTTTCTTATAAATGTGCATTTTACCATTCCTTTTTATGTTATAGTTACCAAAAAAAATTTCAGGTACTTAGTATCCCTAATAATAAAGAAAAATAGTTCCCGTATACCAGTAAATAAATCATTACACGATCAAAAACATCTTAGTTTGCACTCAGCAAAGCAAAATGATTTAATAAGGAACAGGCCTATAAACACAAGAGAATTTTTTAAAACTTTGTTTTACAGAAAAACTACTTTTCAAAAGAATATAGTAATCAACTATTTAGTTCTTCGGGAAGTGACATGCCTCCCAAGAAATGTAGTAAGCTATCATCCTAAGGAAAGATTAGACAAACCTAAGCTGAGGAAAATTCTACAAAATAACCGGCCAGGAACAGTCTGCCAAGGTGATGAAAATCAGGGAAAAACTTAAGAACTGTTTTCAGAATTTAAGTGATTAAGAGGCATGACAAAGAAACACGACATGTAATTAGGAAGATTAGATAGTATTAATGCATCAGAATTTGTTTCCTGGGTTTGACAGCTGTATCGCTGAGGACTGTCCTTGTTCGTATAAACAACAAACTCAATGGTGTTGGGGGCACAATGTTGGAAACAGTTCAGGAAAAAAGTTCTTTGCACTGCACTTGCAATTTTTCTGCAAGCTAGAAATTGTTTCCAAAAAAAGAGAAAAATTTTAAACTTGGGAAGAAACAAGAGGGTTTATTCATAAGCTAGATTTAAATTTTCTATCATTCCAAATTCTAGTTAACCACTGGAAGGCAAAACCAATTTATAGGGACATAAAGTTCATTTAATTCTTCCAAGATTTAAAACTAGCTAGTTCCCTGCCAAAAATTGCAAATTGGACTAGTACAGGCTTTCATGTTAACAAGTAGTGCTGGTGCAGAAACCTTCCTCATATGAGATCACAAGACCAGTCATAATTCTCTTATTTTGATAACATTCAATCTACTCCATGCTGTATACTTACTTATGCACATGTACAAAAAACTGGGTGCTATATTCTAAAATCATTGAGCGTAGAAATGCATTCCATTCGCTTCATTTAAAATATTTACTGGAAAAGGACATACAAGATACACAATAAAGTTGTTAAATGAGAGACAATAGTGTCAGACAATGCTTCTTCTAGAAAAACAAAAATATCCCAAGACATATTTATTGAAGAGAATGTAGTCTCTCTGGATCACCAATGACCAGGGGGCCAAATCTTTTTTCTTCATATTTATTTTCGTCCAATTTAAAAGGTTGTTAAATTCTTTACATTGAGTTAAATTTTAAGCTATAAACAAATGGTGGAAATTATGGTTAATAAGCAAATGTTCTTCAACGTCTAAGCCCGGGTATCTATGACTAATTTAGTATGGAGAGAAATCTGACACGGTTTCAATTGGAAGAACCCTTATAGCAGAATTAGGCCTAGGAATATTCCTGGACCTAGAAATCTCCACATTCAGCCAGATCTGTCATCTTGGACTGCTTTAAGAAGAGTGATATGAAGGTAGAGACAAGAGGATCTGATACACTTCAAAAACCAGAGATTACAAAACTTTAAATTTAGATTGAAACAGAGATAGCAAGAGCTATGTTAACATCTCAAATTAAATTTAGAATAAGGTCCCTACACATGCCAAGATGTTTCATCCCATACTTAAACCAACAATTTAGGATGCCGCAAGAAAAATATAAATGGAACCAGAAATAAAAACTGGAATTACCTATGGGAAACATTAAAATAAAAATATGCCTAATTTTTTTAAATAATGCCTGACAATATTTTTCAGACTTTAAATTGGATTTCTTAATATAGCCATAATCACTTCTGCACAATTTACATACATTATTCTTAAATGTTTTAACTTTCTTCAGTGTCCCTTTTTCTCTATAGGCGTGGAATAAAACAGTATATCCACTCAGTATAATGTTCATTCTTGGTGCCAGCTATTTCTTCCTGTGGTATGTGTCTGCTTTACCTGGAATTTTAGATACGATTTATTAATTGTAGGCAGTTTCCTCTAATGAGTAGGCATGGAGAACAAAAGCATACAAATACCTTAAATGAGGCTTTTAGATCAAGTTGTCGTTAATAGTAGTTATTAAATTACTACAGTAACTAATTTTAAGTGTTCTCTGAATTTTACAGTATGTAACATGAGCAAAAATCTTACAGTAGCTAGAAAACTAGTGGGGAAAATAAAGGCCGAGAAAGCTCTTACAGAAAAAAAAAATACCATCACAGAAAACACTGATAGACTTTAAGTTTCTTCCTGAGAACAGCTTGTTAGAATATTCTTTCAAATATTTGGTAATCATGGCTTCATCTTACCCTATAAAATGTTAAAACAAACAGATCAATGTTTAGAATGTTACCTCTTGAGTCACACTGCTTTGCACTGTTGTTATTTATCACCAAGAAGTGCATTTGCATGTCATCTCTTAAATTCTCTATTAGTAGAGATTTTTAAAAATCATTTTGATTTCTTTCCTCCCTTAAATTTCCCTTCAATGTTTAGAATATGAATCTCTATTATATGGTAAATATCGAAACGAATTTCTGTATTTATTCATCTGTAGCCCCAGTTAATAAATAGTTTTCCAGCACCTGGCACAATGCCTAGTCAATTAATTCCGTGCACGTAGCCAAGTACTCTAGAGTTAAAGATAAGAATAGATCGTGGAAACACGCAGGGCCTTGAAAAATCATTTTTCTTAGTGTTTTAAAGTGTTGGAACTGCTACTACGGAGATACCGGTGATGTCCAAAATAACTCTACGCAGTTAGAATCGCTGTAAACTTAAAGGTAATGAAATACAGCTATCACTATTATAACTTATTACGGCAGTATTTTAAGGCAAAGTGCGTAAAGAAGCTGCTGATTGTCATTGCAACCTTAGCAGGACACCACAGATTTTAAGAAAAGTCCACGCGAAAGCAAAGTCTTGCAGCTTTCTCCCCTCCCCCTAGCGTCTAGTACTCAAGTCCCCGCAATCGTCTGCATTTGTATTTCGCCCAAGACACAGCCCTGGAGAACCCAGAGTGCAGGGACCCAGCTCTGCCTTGTCCTTCCCCGCATGTGTACTAAGCTACCGAATTCTCCATTAGTCCCTGGAAGTCGCCTCCCCTTCCTGGCTAGGGAGCGAGCCACGAAGAGGCGACGACTCCGCTGGCCCTCGTCGCGAAGCTGCCCACTCCTCTGCCCCGCGCCAGCTCCGGCCAAGCTCCCCCTCCGGCCAAGCTCCCCATCCGGCCGTCCCTCTTCCCACCCCCAACGGTCCTCGGGCCCGGGTCTCACCTCTCCACCCACTCCCTCAGGAATCGCATTTCCTCGGTGTGCAGTACGCTCGGATCCTGCTTACACATTTTCACGAAGGCCCGAAGCTCGCTCACTTTGCGGGGATCCATGGTCGGGAGGCTGCGGCCCGATTCCAGACCCGGGCACTAGCGCGGCGTGAGCGCGTAGAAGGGGGCGGCTGCCGCGAGGCAGAACAGACTAGAACCCCTTGGCCGCTGGCTCCGCCCACCAACGGTCTCGTGACCCCGGGTCCTTCGCCTGTGCCTGCCTACTCCCTTCACCTCTGCTCCTGCGCACTGGCTAGAACCTTCTAGAAGTGTGGCTGTTCGTGCTTTGCCTGCCTTCGTCTGCACTCTCATAGTCTTAACTCTGAAACAGTCCTCTGGAGGCGTCCACTCCCGCCATCGTGCCTGAAAGAAGGCGATAGGTACCAGCCCCTTCAGGGAGTCACTTACAATTGGACACCCAGTGAGTGCGAGCATTGAGGGGAGCACGACGTCAGGACGCCGAGAGGGCGGACCGGCCGGAGCGGCGGTCACCGCTCTTGCGTGACGTCAGCATTTTGCGCCGCCGTGGGAGGAAAGCCCGAGACTGGCGCAGGCCGGAAGGGGCGGGCCGCCTGGCCCGGTTTCCTGGCGACGCAGCGTGGCGGGACGCAGCTTCTCCCGCTGCTCTGCTCCTTCCCTTCCGGACGCGTGAGCGAGGCTGTCATGCCTTGGTTACTCTCAACAGCTAAGCTGGTTCCCGCGGTAGCAAGCGCCCGCAGCCTCTCAGGTTAGACTCACCTCCCATTGTGTCCCCTCCCGGGGGCTTGCTCTCTGAGAAGCCTCAGGCTCCGCAGAGGGATCCAAGCTGGTCTCAGGCGATCGCTGGTTCGGCGGACCCTTCTGCTAGGGTCTCCAAACCCTCTATGCGCTCCTCGGACTTCTTCTTTACCTGCCGCTCCTAGAAGAGCGTGGGCCCTGTGTTCTCTTTACCTGTCAGGTATTCTGGGAAGCTGAAATGATTGCAAAGAGGGAACTATCTTCAAACTTACTCGGCCTCATAGAAGTTGCTTAGGTGACAAAGTGTCTCGCATCAAGTAGCTCTTGTTTCTATTAGGTTAACCTAAAATTCTGTTTTTGTGTTTTAAAAGAGTCGATTTGAGAACTGGGTTCAGATTGAACAATAATATTTAGTAACATCCTTTGAGCTATTCCTCTCAGGAGAGGTAATGTTTAGAAATACTCCTGAGACTTTTTATGTTTGAAAGCCCTGTTTGTAAAGACAAGATGAAGGAGTCCCTGAATAAGGGGGCCCCTTTATTCAGAGTGTACTATCTCGTTAGCGATTAATCTGAGAACGTAAAGCTTGATCAATAAAAGCTGAATAATCTGCCTTGCAGGTGGATTTGCCATTGGATCACATTTCAGTTTTTGGGGCGGATGTGTGAACCAGAACATATGGTATTTGACTTCAAAGCTATGTATTGGCATATGTTTCTTGTGTTAATATACTTGAATTTCCTGAAAATGAAATGGTAATTAAATCAAGACTTACTCTACTTTAAAAAAGAGTAATCTTTATCTAGTGCACAGACCTTGCTCTTTGGTTCTAATAGTTAAGCTCCAGAAAACTGTCCCTCTCCATGGCAATAGGTGAACAGATGTGCATTAATGGTAATCACAAAGGATACAACCTATGATTTAGAGCTGGAGCCATCTGTTACTTGTGACTTTTTTTGGATTTGTTGAGGCTTTGTGTAAAATCTGATTAATCAAGGTTTAGGACTAGATACTGTATTACACACTATTATACACATCAAGATATTTGAAAAATATATTCATAATTATGCTTCACTTTGTCTCAATGGAATAAGTAAATTTAACCACCTCTTATATTGGCTTTTTGAATGAATGAATGAATGAATGTTCTCCTTGGATCTTTGCAAGTCCGATAAGTTAGGGCAGATATCCTAATTTTACTGATGGAAAACTGGAACTAGCATAGGATCACAAATAGGAAGTCAGGAATTTTAGTTGTATGATTGCCATCTAGTTTTTTTTCTGTTATATCAGTAGGTCTCATTCTGGCTTAGAGTCCTTTTGGAACTTGTATTGAGCCAGAAAGAATCATTCAGTTACCTTTGAGTTACTGGTCATTGTGGATGAATCTCCACTTCCCTGGAGTTGCTCACAGTCTGGTCAGAGTGATAGACAACAGATAAATGACATTATAGCAAATAGTAATAGAGTCTTGACTAAAGTGACTTGGGGGCTCAAGAAAGGCAGTAATGGGTTGTAAATCTTGTATTATTCCGGAAGTTTACTAAGTTTTAGAAATTGAAAATTCCACTGACTTGAGGTGCTCAGAAATGGAACTTATTGTCTCTGATGCTCTTGGTTGCCCTTTTTTAGAAAGGCTTTGGGTCCAGAGTATGGAGTACTATAGGAAACTCTCATCTGTGAAAGTCATGCATTCCTAAAGTGAAAATGTATTGTATTGACTAGCTAAAGTTTAACCTAATTAAGAGTGTAATTTCATTAGTTGGAATATGCAGATATTAACACCAACTAGTCATCTGAGAAAAAAGCAAAATAAAGCACCGACGATGCATAAGTAAGTTGTATTTTAAAAGACTACATCATTTAAGATAACCATAAGACCGAGATGGGGAAAGGAAATATTGAAAATATTAAAGAATAAGTACAGAATAATTTTTAAAAGCCTGTTTGCAGTTAATTCATTCAACAAACATTAATCGAGCACCACATATGAGCACTAAGCACAAAAAGTTTCTATCACAGGACACAGATCAAAAAAGCAAGTAATTGTAATATACTAAATTTAGAGAGAGAGGTGGGAGAAAGGAAAGAGGGATAGGTATTTTCTGGGAGCAGAGAGGGGCAAAGCGGAAGTATGGAAATGCTTTTAAAAGATTAGAGATGTTTGATTTTGAGACCTGAAAGAACGCTTTCATCAAACAGACTGGAGTAATAGAGCCTTCTCAGCAGAGAAAACATGCAAAGGCATGGAATCCTGAAACAGAATGGCTGGTACAAAGCTTTTCAATCCTTAGTAAGCCTGGAGGAGCATTTTCGAGATATGTTCCTGGGCATATTAATAGGTATTACACCAAAATGGCTCTGTGGTAAAATAAGTACAGGGAATGCTGCATTTCATAGCACCCATGACAAACTAATTCTGTCTCTAAGGCAGAAATGTATTTAGCAGTAATTTGCAAAATATATTTGACCATGGAGCCTTTTTTTCTGTGTTTGACCATGGACACTTTTTTCTGTGACAATTCTTGAACCTATGTCCCTTGGAACACATATTGAGAAAACTTGGACTCAAGCATAAGATGTGTAGGAAGAGATGATAGAAAATCAAGTTGAGGAGAAAGCTGGTGGCTAATTCATGGAGGACCTTTTGGAAACAATGAGCTTTTTCCTCTGGCAGTGCGGAACCATTGAATAATTTTAAGCTATTGAGTAAGACTAAATCTGAATTTTTAGTTCTCTGTCAGGAATGGGAAATGGACTAGAAGGCATGTGATTGCATTAAGTTTTCAGACACTGGTTTTTGCATTTGTTGTTGGAAAATTATATTTTTTTCTGACTGATTAATTCCACATACATGATGACAGATAGTCTACTAAATATTACATTTTATATAAGTACCAATTAAAATAGGCTTTCGTGATTTTCTGAAAATAAGCTTTAAGTGCTCATTGTCCCCAGTCCCTCCTATAGAACGAATGACCTCTCCCTAACCTACCAACTAAAAATCAAACGATGAAATAAAAGCTCATACTACTATAACAGTCTTTTTAAAAAATAGACATTGTAATTTTTCTAGTTTCCATATTTGTTGCCCTGCTAAATACCACTGAATTGTACTTTTACAGCCAAAGATGATTGGGTTTTAGTGCCGCTCGATTATCTACCCCTGTCTTTTAGTCACATTAAAATTTACAGTAATTACATTTCTAAGCGATAAAAAATTAAATATCAATAGATCTTTTTGTTAAAAAAGGAATAATTCAGTGACAAGGAACATGCAGGATGTAAGTCAATGCAGGCAGTACTTTTCAGTTGCTTTATAAATACAGGCATCTCAAATGTGGCACATCCAAAACTTAACACCTGCAGCCCTATGTCAGATAATGGCAACTTCCTGCTTACAGTAGCTAAGGCCGAAAACCTTGACTCCTGTCCAACATATAGTCTGTCAACATATTCTGTTTGGCCTTAATTTTAGAATATATTCAGAATTTGAAAACTCTTTACCAACCCTAACTTCACCACCCTAGACCAAGCTACCACAGTCTCTTCCCTGGATTGTGGCAATAACCTGATTTCCTTGCTTGCTTTGAGACTTTTTGCAATGACAGCAGTCAACGTAGGCCTGTTTAAATATGTCAGTTTATTTCACTCTTCTGCTCAAAACTTCTAACGGCTTCCTGTCCCATATATAATACCAAAGTCCATATTGTGATCTAGCAGTTCCTGCATGATCTGATCTGTTTCCTTTCTTCATTTACTTGCTCTCTTAATTGGCTACCACTGATCTCCATGTTCCTCAAATACACTTTACACAGCCTGCCTTAGGGATGTTTCATCCGTTATTCCTTCTGCCTGGAATTCTGTCTCACCTGATAGCCACATGGCTAACAGCTTCACTTCCTTGAGATCTTTACTCTGATGTAACCATCACTTTTCCCTGGCTACCTTAACTTAAATTTCAACTCTCATACTCCAAAACTTTTATCTGCTCTCCCTACTTTATTTTTTTCCTTAGCACCTATGACTAACATAATATTTTACCTAATATTTGTTTATTGTTTCCAGTTTGGAAGCTGTGACAGCTAAGGTTCTTACTGTTCATTACTGTATCCCATGTACGTAGAACACTACCTGACAAACAATAGGTACTCAAAAAATAATGTTAACTGAATGAAAGAATAGAAATAATAGGCCGAAAGCAATGTATTTTAAAAAGTAATTACAGAAAGCTAAGAAGTAATCAAAGAAGCAAATGTATACAAACATTTAGATGAAACCACTTGCTCAGTATCTGATATATCTATAACTCATCTATTTTCTTTCCATGATAACCCTAAGTTATAGCTAAAGGTGGTGTTTTAGAGTAATGCTTTTGTAGATCCTTTGTACATACTCAAAGATAATAGAAAGTTTTACCTGAAGTGATCCACTGATGGCCTATCACACACGATATAGCCAGAGTGCTCTGAGGAATCTATCGTAAGTCTGGCATTTTTTTTTTTTTTTAATCAGAGTAAGATACATACAACAAAATTTACCACACTAATCATTTTTAAATATACAATTGTAGTCTACAGCCATGCCATCCTGAACGCGCCCAATCTCATCTGATCTCGGAAGCTAAGCAGGGTCGGGCCTGATTAGTACTTGGATGGGAGACCACCTAGGAAGACCAGGCTTAAAAAAAATAAATAAAATAAAAATAAAAATAAATATACAATTGTGAAGCAGATCTCCAGAATTTTCATCTTGCTAACCTGAAACTATACCCATTAACAACTCTTCCTTTCCCCCTCCCCCTTGCCCCGGTAACCACAATTTACTTTCTGTTTCTATGAATTTGACTTTAGATTCCTCATATAAGTAGAATCAAAGTATTTGTTTTTCTATGACTGGCTTATTTCACTTAGCATAATGTCTCAAAGTTCATTCATGTTGTAGCACATAATCTAAAGGGATTTCCTTCTTTTTTAAGGCTGAGTAATATTCCACTGTATGTATATGCCTGTATGTATGAATGTTTTACGTTTTTATTAATCGATTTACATTTGAGTTGGTTCCATCTCTGCCTGTTATAAGTGCTACTGTGAACATGGGTGTGCAAATGTAAGTCTGGCTATTTTTAAATTAAAAGAAAATAATTTGTACTTTAATTTTTAATTTATATTATCTAAGTTTTGTGTCAAATGCTATGCCTCTAATGGAAAAAAAGTCACTTCATGAGTAGTTACATTCTCTAAACCTGTATATCTTAATACATTTTTAGCTTCTAATGTCATACATATTTCAGAAGTATGTAGTTTTAATTAGAGAAAAAGAATGAAACAGATCATAAACTCTACTGAAAAACTATGCAAATATTTAGCTCAAAACCAAAAGTAAAATAATCTTTGCCGTTTTCCAAATTCTTAACATCACTGTCACAACTCATCTTTTTCTGATGTACCTAATCCAAACCACCACTGAGCACATGTCAACAATCCTGCTAAATGTGTTAAAAACATAATCTTAGTATACTATTAAACAAATGTTATCTACAAAACTCTGTGATTAACCAAAACACAAAGAATCATGTTCAAATGTTATATGAACATAATGTGTCTGAAGGATCAATTTAACGATTCCTTTTGGTTGACTTCTTCTTCTGCACCTTTTTATGCTTCTTTTTTTTCCTCTTACCACCTTCTTTGAATCCTGCTGAGAAAATAGAGGGATCCCTGTTGCTAGTGGCCCACGGTATACCTTGCTCATCATTGTCCACAAAAGTATATTGAGGTACATGTTTGGGGCTGTAGGATTTTGGTGAATAATAGTTGAATGACTGTCTCCTCCAGCTGTGTTCTTCCGCAAAGCCCTCTTCATCTGCCACACCATTTATGAGGAAGGCCTTCAGCTCGCCATCATCAACTTCTTCTCTTTCTTCATCCTCAATAATTCTGTTTACATTGATATTTCTGCCATTAACAGTTTTACCTGAAGTTATAAAAGATGTGTAGTCGACCATCCCACTGTCATCAAATGCCAAGGAAGAGAAAGAATTAAGGCCCTCACGGCCCAGGGAACCGTATGGTGTGTATCTTGTATCAAGTGAAGAAAATCTCTCAAAAACTGGATATTCACTGGAGGTAGAGGAAAAGGATCTTGCACCTCCGTTTCTGCTTCCGTAGGAGCTTCTTGGATTGTTTAAAAGGTCCTCAAGTGAATCTTCAAAGAAATGAAATGAAAATGAGTTCATTTCACCAAAAATTTCTTTAAAGACGTCCTCCGGCTTACGGAATGTGAAGCTATACTCAAAAGAATCATCAAAATTACTTCCGCCTCCGCTATTTAATCCTTCTTTGCCATATTTATCATAAATGTCCCGTTTTTCGTCATTTGATAATACCTCATACGCCTCAACTACTTCTTTGAATTTTCTCTCGGCTTCTTCTTTATTTTCTGGATTTTTATCCGGGTGCCATTTAAGTGCCACTTTATGATAAGCCTTTTTAATGTCCTCACACGAAGCATATTTCTGCACTCCTAGAACTTCATAGTAATCCACCATGCTTTAACAGGTTGTTGGAAAGGGGTGCTCCGGGTCATGAGAACCGTGGTTTCCTCTCAGCTCAGGCTCTGCTGGTGGTGGTGGTAGAGTGACTGCAGGTAGGCACGTTTTTACATTGAAGACAGTGTTATTACAGTGGGCCACTGCTAGGAGACGTTAGGATACTGATTGTGTTGCAAGCAGAGTTATAAACATGTCAGAGATGGCTGCATTATGCTGTCATTCTGGGGTGGGGGTGGGGCTTAGACCTTCCAAATGGAACTTGTCCAGAGTATTGCCAGATCGTCCTGGACCCTCTACACTATTTCCCCTATATTTCCCTGGAAGCCTCAAACAATACCAGTGTGACCTGTTGCCGATGGCCACCGCATGCCACTTGCATAATATGACCTCTAGTTTACTGAACCTTTATTAATAAGTGCCTTCCCAGCTCCTCCATGTTTTGTTTTGGACAAATGAAGAATTCGTGAACTGTGAAAAAAGTATTCAAACAGTTGATATGTTTATTTCAGTCAAGAGATTTATACTTCAGTAGGAGATAGAAACAAGTCACTTGATTACAATATAATAAAGCCTCCGATGGGGGAAACACTACCTGCTAAGCAATCATATGACAGACACCCACCCCAGAACTGAGGTATCAGGGAAGGCTTCCTGGGGAGGTAGCCTACTATACAAGCTTTTTGCATGCCAGTCGTGAATCATTTCAGATGATGGTATCTCGCCCACTTAAAGTATAGTTAAAGATTTTGAAAACTCTGCATTATATATTCAGTATATAACTATTGAATGCCTACTTTGTGTAAGACACAGTTTGAGCCACTGTTGATAAGAGTATTGAACAAAAAAATGCCAGTTTTCATGGTGTTTACGTTATAATGAATTACAAAGAATAAAAATATTTGGAGATAATCTGATATGTGCTCAAAAAAAAAGTAATGTGATTGGGGCAGAGAGCTACCTTAGATTGGTTTTAGAAGGCCTCTGAAGAGATGACATTAGAGCTGAGATCTAGATGACAGAGAGTCAGCCATGTGACGATCCAGTACACAGTAGCTACTAGCCATGTGGACGGACATTATGTTTCTTTTCCAGTTTTGAGCTATTACAAACAAAGCTAGTATTCATTTCAAGCATAGTGGGAAGCCATGGCGGGGGTGGGGGGGGTGGCGGGTATGCATCTGATTTACATTTTTAACAGGTCAGTGGCTACTATGTGGAAAATCAGTTGTGTGTGGGAAAGGATTAGAAAAGCCAGTTGGAAGCGAACTAGACCAAAGTTGATTTGGGGTGGGGGGTGGTGACAATTTAAATCGTCAGTCGGCTAGACCTAAATTAAAAAGACTTGTATTCTATTCCTGGCTCATTTTATTGTCCCAGGAAATTCCTTATGATGATCTCTGTTTTTCCTCCTCTATATTGTATTTGTTTTATTTTTATCACATTTATAAACCCCTCAGTTAAATGATAATCTAATGAGAAATAAAACAGTAGTGTACATTTCTAGACAGTCTTTCAAGACCATTTGCTAGCTTTGACTGTTTTTTACTTGGTGTTTGTTTCGTTATACCAGTTGACTAGAGGTATTGCAAAACTCTTAAACTCAAATAATTTTACTTCTCTACAGTATATGTGCTCACATGTATGTATGTATGTTTGGTATACACATGATTATATTTGCCTGCCATTGAAAATAAATAGCAATAATAATATTGAACATTATTTGAGTGCCATCTTTGTGTCAGACCCTGTACCAACTAACTTATGTGCAGTAATAAATAGCAATAATAATATTGAACATTATTTGAGTGCCATCTTTGCGTCAGACCCTGTACCAACTAACTTACGTGTAGTTTCTCATTTAACTGTGACAGCAGTCCACCAAAATAAATATTTTGTACACATAAGAAACCTGAGTTTCTGAAAAGTAAAGTAATTTTTCTAAGACTACCTAACTTGCTGATGAAAAATCTAAAAATTAAATTTAAGTCTCTGATTCCAAATTCTGCTCTTTCCACTCCCTCGCATTTCTTGGTCCAGGACTTAAGAGTTTCGATCCCAGACATTCCATAAACATGTATTGAAAACCTATGATACAGAGGAGCTAGAAAATTCTGCTCTGGAGGAATTCATATAATTGGAAAAAACATTGAAAACTAATTTCAATAGAGCGGGAAAGTGTCACGCGAGGATTTGCTTCTGGATTCCCCGCCCCTTGGTCTCTTGCCCCTGCCAGCTGCTGTGCCATTTCTCTGATCCTCTCACAATAAAATTTCTCAAAACTGTTGTCTCTACTCAATGTCTGTGCTTTCTTCCACCCCATTCTTTCTTTGGCACACTCCCAATCTAGCTTCTACCTTCTTTTTCTTTTTCTACAATTTTATTGCAATACAATTAGCGTATAACATTTTACACGTTTAAGGTATACAACATAATGATTTAATATATGTATATATCGTGAAATGATTACCAAAATAAGTTTAGTTACGTCCGTCACCTCACATAGTTAACGCTTTTTTCTTATAAGAACTTTTAAGATCTACTCTTTAAGCAACTTTCAAATACACAATACAGAATCGTTAACTGTAATCACTGTGCTATACGTTACATCCCCGGAATTTATTTATCTTATAATTGGAAATTTGTGTGTTTTGACCACCTCCCATTTTGGCTTCTATCTTCTATACTCTACTAAAACTATTCTTGTCTCTAGTGACTTCCGTGTT